CCCCAAAACCCCAAAACCCCGCATGAAAAACTGTATGAATGGCGGAGGCTATGAAATATTCTAGTTGTTGATTATAAGTGACATTAAATTATGACTTTATATACATATTAATTTTAATACTGCTTTAAATGGAGTAATAGTCGAATATTTTGTAATCATCCTAGCAAGTTTACCAGCTAAGGCCATCTCTCGTATAGCAATAGAATAACTAAAAAAGGCACAGATCGCCGAGAAAAATTCTGTTTTCTGATTATTTTATCAATAGTAGTTAGAACTAGAATGAATCTTAGAGATTAAACACAATGTTGAATGAAACATTTTAAATGACAGTGAGAAACAAAATATACTCAGATTAGGGCGATTCCAATCTAGAAAACAACCTTAATTAGACTGAATTTGATTAGGATTAAGTTTTTAAAACTGCTAGGCAATCTGATGAAGATGAAGATTTTGAGAAAATGGATCCAGAATAAAATTAAGCAAGCTAGAAAGTGTTGAAGTAGAATTTCATGATAAATGAAAATGAATTACAGAATAGATCTCTAAAGAGAATCAACCCTAAAACTTAATAAATGGAAGCAATATTACTCACTTAGTAAAAAATTGCAATTAAACAGACTCTTTACAATCTTGAATCATTCCTCAGCTCAGATTTCATAAAATCACATCCAAAGCTATTAGGTTACTTTACAGTTAAAGACATGATAATACTATCTTAGACTTCTTAAAAACTTTACATGACAATCATAAATAGGAAAATTATAAAAAGACTTGTCAGATATGGTAATTTAGACCAATGTTTAAGAAAGCAATTCTGGCGCAAATTATGCTAGTATGGGGAGCTAGAAGATGCTCTGAGAGAACAGTTAGGGCTTGAGGATGAAGAAATTAGTGTATACAGTCACATATAGGCTTTGATAGAAAGCGAGAAGGAGGGAACTGATATTTAAAATAATAAACTGACTGAAAAGGTTATAGACGAAATATCAAGGGATTTAAAGAGGACTCATACCTCTGAACTAATGAAATCATAAGAAGGACAAGATCAATTGAAGAGAATACTTTAAGCAGTAGGCTATGTAGTGCCTGATGTTGGTTACTGCCAAGGAATGAACTTTATTGCAAGTGTTTTAATAACTGTCCTAGGCAGTGAGGAATGGGCTTTCTGGGTTTTTCTTGAAATGCTTATAACTCGTGATATGAAAACACTATTCTTACCTGTAACTTATACTTTTTTATTTATTAGGGTGTGCCAGAGCTTCACTTGAAAAACTTTTAAATGGCTTAGCTTATAAAGTTTCACATGCAGAAGTTGTTCAACCATCTGAGGTAGATTTAGATGACTACTGACTATTTTACCTCTAAGTGGATAATGACACTATTCGCTTGCTTTTTGCCTTATGAAGTACTTCCACCAATATTTGATATGTTCTTAATGGACGGATGGACTGCTGTGTTTAGACTTGGCATTGCTTTGCTTAGGGAAATGGAGCATTTACTATTGCAAATGGATATGGTTGAGATGTCAACTTACTTCAGAGATAATGTGCGAAAGGACAAATTAGCAAATCAGTTTAAGTTATTTTCGGAGGCATCTAGAATCCGTGTAAATTAAATTCTAGTACACAAACACTTTCTCTTATTAACATCTTATTATAGATACACAACCGTGAGCTGCAAAAACTGAGGGAGTAGTTTTACATTATTTAAGCTGAAGTGAAATTAAAACAAGGCAGAAAAAGCTGGGCAACAGACTAAGTTGAGGCATTGAGATGGGCTGAAACTGTTTTTGAAAAAATGGATCCTCATGCCAAGGAAGACATTCAGAAATTTTAAGAAAAGCTGGAGAAAATAGATAGAGATCTTGATAAAATTAATAAAATGGTGTTGGCTTCTCATGTAGATTACTATGCTATTAGAGAGGAATTTGCTTAGCTATAAGACAAAAAGAGTGCTTATGAGCAGGCATATGTCTGCTTGAAAGATTAACTCTAATAGAGGAAGTAAGAGAAACAGTGGAGGATAACCAAGATGTTTAACTAGACTAAGTCAAACTACTTTAACTTAGTTAGTAAAAGCAATAAAAAAGGGAATGGGAAGTAATAAATAAGAACTTCAACAATAATGCCTCCCGGATCCTCATCATCTACTTTTATAGAAAGTAGTAGTCCAGCTAAAGATACTAAAAAATTCATAGATGACTAAATGGATGAGACTGACTATAAATAATTGGAAAAAGATCTGTAGGACTTACATGATAAAAAAACCTAAGTTTAGGCGCAAATAGATCTGATTAAAGACGAGTTTGCCTTCAAAAAGAATAGATATCATGATTCCAAAATGAAAATGGAGGAGTCTCGAAACTACAAGGAGAAAGTTAAAAACCAGATGAATGGATTTCTCATAATGTATGAAGTTAAAAAGGAGGAAACTCTCAAGGAGCTAAGTAAAAAGCTTTAAACTTCAGAGAAGTTCCAGCAAGAACGCGTCTTTTGAAACCATTGAGATTTATCCTGCTTCTCAGTTAATGAGTGATGTTACTGTATCATTTATTTTATTCGACATCACTCTCCTCTAAAAAGGATAGAATAAACTGACAGTGGTGATGATTAGTATTATTATTTATTTCTATTTTCTTTGGCTAGTTAATTAGAAATTTTATATTTTTTTAATTCTAACGCTTATTTAATACTAAGGGGTTTTGGGGTTTTGGGGTTTTGGGGTTTTGGGG